TTTAAGGAGAAAGGTGGGGTACACATATTTTAAATACTGTAAATAAATAATAAACCTAGTCAAAGGCAACCATTCATACTCCTGTTTAAAATATAAAGAACACCAAAGATGATACAGAAACAATTCTTGCTTGGGAACCTAATGTCTGCCTACTCTGAAAGAGGACCAAGCTTTGATTTAGTGGGATTGACAACCAGCTATCCCAGTACTACTGCTACCACTGTCATCTTGGTTCTAGGCTCTTACTTCTTAGTGCCTGATCCTTGCTAAGGCTCCATTTTCTCTACTTCTAAATCTGAGTGGCCCTGCTGATGCTTTGAATAAAGAATCCAGGAAACAATTTTGCCCAGAGCTTGGACAAAATTATTTTCCGGATTTCAGATTTCAGAATCCCCCAGTAGCCATGCTGGCTGGGGTTTTCCGGAAGCCGTAACACCTCCAAGCACTGTTACAAATGAATAAGTAATATTGTTTATTTGGCTGTTTATATAAATTTTATTTATTTGCATGGTTTTATTATACATGTTCTACCTACCACTTGAAAAGTTGTTGAAAGATGTATTTCTAAGTACAACGTAACATTATTTCTTCATTTTTGTTACCTTATTTTTTTCTTCCTTTTTCTTTTCCAAACCACACTACATAGGCTTATCATCTTTACACTCTTTCTATTGCTCTATCTCATTACAGAAATTTATTCTAGTACTCAGATTTTTACCTTTTGATTCCGCCTGCCTTTATTACAAATTATGTTCTAAATATTTATTTTTAACATTTTAAACTGAATCATAGATCATTTTTGATTGCTTATTGTTTGGGCTTTATTGATTTATTTGCTGGTTTTGTCTGATTATATGTGATGTTTCTTTTATTACATTTAATTTGTTTTACATTAGTCTCATTCTGGATGTAAACTATCTAAAGTAGTGTTTATCACTAAGAGCCACAATATTCAAAAATATTTATTTTTAACATTTTAAACTGAATCATAGATCATTTTTGATTGCTTATTGTTTGGGCTTTATTGATTTATTTGCTGGTTTTGTCTGATTATATGTGATGTTTCTTTTATTACATTTGATTTGTTTTACATTAGTCTCATTCTGGATGTAAACTATCTAAAGTAGTGTTTATCACTAAGAGCCACAGTATTCAAGTTAAACAAGCAAACAAGCAAGCAAGCAAGCAAACAAACAAACAAACAAACAAACTGTATACACTCTCTCACTCTCTCCTTTATATACAGACACATACAAACATGCACAGATAATAATAATCTTAGAACTACAGAGCTGGAAACGACCTATGGCTCATTGGGTCCAAAACATTAGTAGCTGGCATGAAAGCTACACCTGCTAACATAGAACTGCTAGATAGCTCAGTGGTTTAAGGGAGCCAGAGGTTGGGAATTCAATTCCCCACTGTGACAGGCTGGACTCAATGATCTAGCTCTGAACTTCTAAGATGATGATGATGATTTGCACAAGCGTTTTAAAGTCCAGGAACTGTGTTCTTTTGCACCTATGACTGCCCCATGGATATCTGCAAGCCCTTTTAGTCCAACTTTCCATTCTTCCGAGGTTAGTAAATTTGAGTACCCAGCTTGTTAGTGGGGGCGGGGGGGCACTGTGTAGCCTGCATGATTAAATCGCAAACCACTCAGAGAGTGCTTCAAGCGCTATGGGGCAGAAGATAAGCAACACACTTTTTTTAGTTCTTAGAGATCTCTTGAAAACACATTTCTTTCCATATGCTTGTAGCTTGTACTTTTAGTCCTCCAATCTGCTGTGCTTCATTTTCAGTCTGGTTTTTTTCCCCCTGCCAATTTAGCTAGTCTGAATATGTGTTTTATTATAATCATGTATTGTTCTTCTCGCTGTTGTTTGGTCTGATTTTTTTGTGTGCCCTTTGCCTTTGTGTGACAATTTTCACAGAAAATTCTGAAATGGAGCTGCCTCTCTTATTGTTAATGATGGTGGCAGCGGTGGTGGTGATGAGAGTGACAACTTTCTGAATGAACATAGACACAGCTTCTAAAAGAGCTTCAGACATTAAAAGCATGTGACTTTTCTTTATTTTGGGGAAAAGAAAGGACACTTTATGCTAAGCATGCTGCTGTATGTTGCTAGCAGTTAAGGTGCCTGAGAAAGATGGCTTTAGGGTAAACGCTTTGCATATAGTAGGCATATAGTAGTTTCTTCCTTGGCATCCCCAGATAGAACTGAAAAAAACTCTTGAAACTCTGAACAGTCACTACCAGCCTGTGAAGACAATACTGGTCTAGATGGTAAATATTTGCCACTGTAGAACACATCTTCCTATGTTGCTAGTACTGTTAAGATGAGAAGTCTAAGTCTTTTCTCTTCAAAGTGATGTTAGCAACAGCTCGCCGTGTGAAGACACCATGATGACGATAATGTTTCTACCTCACTTTTCCACTATCAGGCAGTGCTCAATGCAGCTTATAAGTTCTTTTATTTAAAATGGTCTTTATCAATGAATCCAAGTACCAGCTTCCATGGATGTCCAACAGAAATATGATGATGTATCAAGAAGAGAAAAAAATGAAAAAAAAAATCTAGCTCCTCTGCAAAACCCTAAGGTAGTTTCCTGCCAAATATGCCACAGGATCAACAAAAAAGGAAAAGCAGAAAGGGGGCACTGAGGTTGAGAGGGGCAAGCTTAATTGTAGAACAGTTCCAAATATTGAAGGGTCTTGCACCTGAACTTCAAAATAAGCTCTGTTCATTTGTCATTCCACCTGATTAAAGTACTCATGTCATTGTATGGAGTTTTGTAATCTCATTCCAATTAACAGAAATGCTAAACTATTTCTTGTTTCAAATTTTACGTGTGCTACTGTTTTGTAAAATAGAGCAACTCCCGTAATCACAAATTTTGTTTTGTAAAATTGTTTCTTGATCTGGCTTGCATGTCCATCCTTGCTCAGAACACACCTAAAGCCAAATGTTTTGAAAAGGCAGGACTTTCCTTTTTGACAAGGCTGAAGGGCCAAGGACACAGGCAGCACCACATATCTTGAAGGCTTGGCCGGCATTCCCCCTGTGCAAAATTTAGATTGCTGTCCTCAAAGAAACCAGATTACACAAAGAATTACCCTGAAGTTCAGAAATGTGATGCACCAAAAGAATAGCAATGTGGTTTACAGAACCATTTTGAGGATTTAGAGACACATTTATAAAAGTTGTTTGATGGATGACTTAAGGGTTGATATGGTTCACAAATTTTGCATTGACCTTGTGTGTCTTGAGTTTTGTCATCAACTCTGATTAAACTTGAGAGTCATATTAGGACATCACCCAACACAAGATGGAGTGATGCAAGTGAGAGCTGACTTCATGGGTTATAGTGAGGGAATGCAACACCTATTTGCATTAATGAGCACATCATAAGTGGTGAACCTAATTTCAAACCATTCTGAACCCTCTGCTGCCCTCTCTCAATTATCATGTTTCCAGAACATCCAGACCTGGAGCCACACAGGACAGCAGGACGCATAACCCAAAAAGACACAGCCTGGAAGGTGACCTGATCATGAAATCTTCAGTTAAGAACTCTTCCAAGTTTTCCCACTGCTTCTCCTGTTTAAATTAGAGAGTGGGGGGAGGAATATATATTTCTGCCATATATGGCCTTGTGTACATGGTATATTTCTTCACTTCGAATGCTTACAAGTCTTGTCTTCTCATGATACGTCCAAAGTTTAAAAAAAGTCAGTTTCATCTTTTAAAAAAAGTTCTGGAAAGAGTTCAGGCTTGATTTGATCTAGGACCCACTTTTTTGTCTTTCTGGCAGTCCAGGGTATCCGCAAAACTCTCCTTGAACACCATATTACAGACAAATCATTTTTTTCCATGTTGTTTTGCTTCACTGTTCATTTTTCACATTCATACACAGTAATAGTAAATACAGTAATCTTGACAATCTTGGCATGGTCTCCAGAAAAACATCCTTATAGATGATGATTTTTTCCCTAGTTTCTTCATAGTTGCATTTCCAAGTCTCAATCTTCTTCTGATGTCTCAGCTGCAGTCTCCATTTGGACTGCTGATTTAACCTTAGATATACAACATATTTAATCATTTAAATTTCATAATTCTCAACATTTTCTTCTGTAGCATGATTTTTTGTCGTCTTTATTTTCAACTTCAGTCCTGCTTTTTCACTTTCTTTTTTCAAGTCATCATTGTTTACTACCAGTAAAATTGGCTCATCTGCATAGCTTAGAATATTAATATTGTTGGAAAAATAACAATACTGCATGAAACCTAACACTGGGGGTTCAGTGGGAGGAGGAAGCTTTTACAAACTAAGGTGACTGTCTTCCACCACTAAATAATGAGCAAAGTCTTTTTTCATCCCTCTGGCTTGCTCCTCCTCTCTTCCTGTTTGTTTGTTTGTTTGCTTCACTTCCATTGTTTGTTTGCTCCTCCTCTTCTTCTCTGATCTCCAACCAAAGCAGATATGTTATTCTCTGCATCTGACCTCCAATCATGTGAGTGCATGGTGAACTCAGTCTTCCACATGGTCAAGACTGCAATTTCTCCCCCCACCCCTTTATACCTCTGACTCGAATTGTAGACAATAATCTTTAACATATTACAAAAGTGGTGTCAGGTTTTGAGTTATCTAGAGCTCTTGTCTGGAAAAATGGGAGTAAAATTAGGACACAGAGAAAGGCATAAACTTCCAAAATATGACCAGAGGCCTGCTGAGATTCTGAACATGGATGATAGGAACACAGTAGTTAAATGATTGTTTTCCTTCTATGACAATGATGAACATGGATCTTATTAGCAGACTCTGAAGATTTGGAAAAAAGAAAACGAAGTTCCTAGGAGACTAGTGTGCCTGAAAATCCTAAAAATGTAGGATTTTTGGGGACTCTAGTAGATTGACTTTACCAACCATTTATGTTTGCATTAGAAAACTTAGAAGTCTATGAAAGCATATCTAGCTACTTATGTGTTTATTTTCAGTTCCTTGCACTAGTTCCTGCTTTTTATTTGGGGTCTACAGCTGTCCAAATAAGGAAAATGTGAGTAGCTGCTATCTGACATGTTACCTCCACTCTGTATGAACATATTGTGATTTCTGCAGCACTGAGTCAGCATTTTGATGATTTAGCATTTATATTCCCGACAGCTGTTTATTCCTCTCAGTGTAATTCTGGAGATAGATGTCCAGAAGGGATTTACTGCCCCAGATCTATCAGAAAACATATTTAAGATATTCTGTGGTATTTATATCATAATAAAATCTATTATTCAGTAATGTTAGGGTAGAAGGGGGATGGTTAACTAAACAGTGTCATCTTAAACCTTCCAAAATTAATCTGAAAGCAATCAGATTTAAAATATATAATATCAAAAATGTTTATCCAGGTTTTGGCAAAGGCAGGTTCTGGCTGCTCTGTACCTGTTAAGCTAAAGCATATAAACAGAAGCCTGCAAGGCTCTTTGGTTCCTGAGGAGCCGGCTGTCAGCTTAAATGAGACAGAGGAAGTTACGTGGTCCAAAGAAGGCAGGAGTCAAGTTCTAGAGCAGCAAACAAACAAACAAAAATCAGAACTGGAGGCAGTTGGGAAGTTGTTGTTGTTTTTTAAAAAATACATAAACTCTCTTTCTTTTTCTCCTAATCAGAACTGGAGGCAGTTGGGAAGTTGTTTTTTTTAAAAAAACACATAAACTCTCTTTTTCTCCTACCAATAAATAAAATAAATAAATAAATAAATACATAAATACATAAACAAACAAACAAAACAAAACAGGCAAGGGATCCAAGGCAGCAATCTGGCAAAAAGGAGAAAGAGTCTATGCTCAGTCTTCATACTGGAGGACAGCTGCTCGAATTGAAATCGAGACTTTTGAGTTGAAGTGTTATAGAGCTTGAAATACTGCAACAGGGCCTGAATTCAGTTGACAGAGCATTCAGGAAGGAAGGAATGGTACCCAAGAAGGCACACTCAACTCCAGTATGAGACAGGCCCAGTTCAAGGGACAAACACTCTTGTATCTGAAAGAGGGTCATTTTGAGACCACTGGGAAATGTCAGCATACAAGGTCTGGACCTTTCAATTCCTTCTAGCTTTCGACAAAGAGTGTAGCTTGACTACCCAGGGATCCCGTTCTTCTATATAGTTACACAGACTACAGCAGAAGCAATATTTGCCTGTTGCGAGAAATTCTCCCAGGTTCTGACATTATGCTGTTGAAACACACTTGTGTTTTAATCACAGAATATTGGCTCCCAGACTGGATGGACAGCCCCCTAGGGTTGTGAAGAAATGTCAGTGGAGACTTGATATTGTAAAAGTTCCATAAAGGAAAAAAATGCATTCTTATATCTGCTTAAACAAATTTCTGCCACAGCTACTGTTACTTTAACTTAGGATTTCTCAAGAAAAGCTGTTTTTTTAGTTTAGAATCATTCTGTATTAATGTCTATTTTAAATTTTATACTATGGATAAAGCAACAGGCCAAAGGCAAGTAACACAAAGAATCAAAAACAGACCGAGATAGATGAGAAAAGTGTTACACTGGAGTAAAAAAACACAGTCTTCTAGATATTTGGGACTGCAGTCTTTATCATTCCTTAGCATTGGCAATGCTGGCTTGATGTTCTGGAAACTGAAGTCCAAAACACCTGATGAGGTAAAGGTTCCCCAGGCTGTCCTAAAGAAAGCCACCCTATTCCAACAATCCAAAGGATGGCAATTGCAGTCCAAACAAGTTGGACAAGGGTTTGGGTTTGCTGAGTTAAAACCTCAACTTAGTCATGAAAGCTGCTGGGTGACCTTGGGCCTTTCGTGCTCTCTCAGTCTATCTACCTCACTATGTTATTATTGCTGTGATGATCAAAAGAGAAGGAAGACAACTGATCAGCAAGATCTGAAATAGTGCAAGTGTCCTAGTCAAGATGCCAGCCAACCACCCATCTAGCTGGCCAGCCATGCTGTCTTTCAAGGCCCTCTATTTTGTTCCCCACTTACACCATCTCCCTTCCATATAGACAGTATTCTGTGCTTGGTCAGTTCTTATTTATTTATTTATTGTATGTATACCCCACCCATCTAGTCAACTGACTACTCTGGGCGGCTTCCAGTATATATAATAAAACAATATAAAATATAACATTATAGACATCAGTAATCAAAATATTCAAGATGGAAAGAAATAAGAGAAAGTAACTCAAATAATAACTGAAGGGAAGGCCTGCCCAAACAGCCAGGTTTTCAATTGGCTTTTAAAGACTAACTTATTCCCCCCCTCACTCTTTTTTTGTGGTTCTGCAAGCTGATCCATTAGGACACAGTTCAGGTTACCCCTAGCCAGCTCACTCTTGCTTGCGTCTACACATAAGGCAAAGGGTCAGGTTCTCAACTGAACTTGTTGACTCATATTTTGTGTGAATGGTAAGTTTGTAAGAATGGTGGAGAAGAAGGAAATGAGAAAATTAACATGGGGGAATCAGCCAGCTACCATAGTTTTGGAACTAGACACAGAGGGAACCAGCAGCAGGCAGGAACATTTCTCAGCTCAGGACAAGAGGTATTCTACTGCTCCAAGATCAGGTTTTTGAGTAAGTGAAGAGGGAGGGTGAGCACATATATGACTAAATGCCTGCACATACGTTTGAATGAACACTTGCTTGCTTGTTTGCCTGCCTCTGTATATTTAGGTGAATGTTTTTCAGTTGTGTATGATTGCCCATCTTTGCCCTGGCTCACTTCTAGATGCCTTCCACCCCATCATCTACAAAAGGCAACAGCTGCCGCTGGCTCCAAGTAATGGAGGGATTAACTATACCAAACCACAGGCAGGGAGCCTTGTGGTGCAGTGATTAAACTGAAGTACTGCAGTCAAAACTCTGCTCAGGGCCTGCATTCAATCCCAACAGATTCAGGTAGCTGGCTCAACATTAACGCAACCTTCTATCCTTCCAAGGTCGGTAAATTGAGTATCCAGCTTGCTGGAGTAGAAATGAGTAGCCTGCATAATTAAATTGTAAACCACCCAACAGACTGCTTTAAATGCTATGGGGCAGCACAGAAGCAGCACTCTTTGGTAGATCTTTCAATCCACCGCAGCCATTCAGTACCATAGATCCTGCATCTTTGATAAATAAATGATGCAGTCTGGTCATAGGATGATGATAATCATCATAATCATCTAATTACATGCTGTGAAGTTGCTTCTGAATGATGGCAAGCCTTAAGGGTTTCTAGGTATAAAGTACTCAGAAGTGATTTACCCTTTTTTTGCTATCATTTCCAGAGTTTTCTAGGCATATCATACTCATACACAGTTTAACATTCTCTTCTTTGGGGGATGCTCTGGGGCTCTGTTAGCTTGAACAAGAATACACACACTAGCTCTGTTTCTACAAGGGATAGTGAAGAACTGAACTCCCAACCAGGTGTTCCAGCTCACTGTGCTATCCAACATACAAATCCCTTATTTTAAAATTTCAACCCTGAATTGTTACCTCTAGTCCAGATTGCAGGCAGGTACGAGTATGCATCTGCATTTATACTCAGACTGCAGCCCCCACCTTCACATACCTCATGACTATATTGTGATAAATTTTCCCTTCAACCTTGACATTCACCATCTGTGACAAACGGCAGGCAAATGAAAGCATATGAGCAGGAGAAGGCAACATCTGAGGTCTGGTGATGAAAATGTATTTAGGGCACTCCTGACCAGCATTGCATTTTTGATGCAGAACAATATTGAATCTGCTTAAGAAATGCTAAATTAGTCTTGATAACTGACAGGTATTATCATTCACTTAAGGATGTTAACTCACTCCCCCACACCTCAACATATATCTTACTTGCAAAATCAACTAGTTATGTATTCTTGTATCTGGTTCTTTTCCCCCTAGGTTTCCATAAAAGCCCTGAAAGAATGAAATAATTTAAAACGCAAACTTGTCTCTCTCCCTTTCCCTCTCCTACACTGCACTTAAATTTAATATCAAAAGAAGAATATGTGCAGGGGGTGGGGTGGGTTAATATATCCTGTTGAGGAAGATTTAAACTATTATGTTTAAAGGATTTTTTAGCATTTAGTTTTATATCTTGAATAAGTTATTTCCTAATTATTTTATATAGGGCCATCAATAAGGGCATTACTTCACAGAATACCTGAAACAGGTCTTTGTCCAATGGAACATACAGTTTCATTTCAACATAGGGAAATAAGAAATGTAATGTGTGTGTGTGTGTTCAATGGCTTTAACAATAGAGGGGAACAAGTTAATGCAGGAGAAAGTGCTACTAGTCACCCCTGCTATATGCCACATCAAAGGCTATACAGTATTAAGAGGCATACCAGTGCTTGACAAACATGAATGAGAAAGATGCTACTGCATTCATGCCCTGCTTTTGGGCTCCCCAAACAAGTCTGTAGTCTATAAAGCCTTTGAATGGATACAGCACAACCCTTCTTTCACACGATGGAAAAGTGGGGTTTAAACAGCAGAGGCTACATGCCCATTGTTTTAGGAAGACATGCCTAAGCTTAGCTACACTGAGACTTACTTTATACCATGAGAAGTAGATGTTCTGCCAAAGGCTTCAGGGGAAAAGATGGTTCTGTGAAAGGGTTTAATACTATAAGTAAGAGAGATGGTGTCATGCAGGTTTTTCTAAATCTATTGGGCAGCAAGGGAGAAAAGGTGGAGTCCTTTTAGGACACAAGAGAAGTTTGGCCAGTAGAGCTGGAGGAGCAAAGTTTTCAGGCTGGGATGTATCAAGATAAAACAAACAGAGAGACAGGTGGCAAGTCAATGAGAGCTTTGAAAATAAGGGCAAGTAAGTTGTGCTGGTTGATATAAGTCAATAAAACTTAAGACTTCAAATGTCTTAACAGCATTCCTGCAAGTTAATCTGCCAATACTATTGTACGGTAACCAGTCAGAGATTGAGCTCCTCAGGACTATCACAACACAGTTTGGAGTAGCTGATTTCATGTTTGAAAGAACAGAGGGTTTGTAATCTCAATGGCTTATAGAAAGAAACCATCACCAATTCTGCCCTTCTCTGTGCCTTTGAGTTGCTGACTAATGAGTACAATCTTGGTGCAGCTGTTTGAAGGAAAACTGAGATAAGTGCCTTCCTCTTTCAGCATTTCACCTTGATCTGACTACTGTGAAACCAGAAGCCAGAGCCTTTCCCCAGAACAACTGTTTCTTGGTGGGTAATGCAAGGACAGACTTCATTGTTACTGCAAGCTAGTCACGTGGCCAAGACTGCAATAATAAACTACTATGCTCTGTTTTCATAGTTTAACAGCCACAGACCATCACAGCCATAATGACGGGGCTAATATAAGATGTTTCCCCACTCACCCCAGAAACCACTTATAGATTTACTGCCAAACGTACTGCTGTTTTGCACTAGGAAACATATGACATTTTCATCCCCTAAATAACAGCGCAGTTCAGTGCAGCAATGGCAGTGGCAATGCTTGTTCTCACAACAGAAGATGATCAGGCAGAGCTAAAGCTATTTAGAAAAAGGCAGTGAGGCTCTGTCTTAACTTTTGAAGGAAGTGTTTTTCTACCTTCTTCAATCTATTATATTAGACCAGATTATCTGTTCCTTTAGGGAGAAAAACAAACCGCAAGAAAGAGTCTGGATTAGAAAATAAGTGAGAGGATTTCCTCACTAAAAGTCACCTGCCTATTTATGATAAGGCCATGATTTAAATTGGAAACACCTATGAGTGTGTCTATATGGTGTTTCTGAAACACCAAGTAACATGCCATACTGGGAAATGAAGAACATGACTTCTGGTGAGCCAGATAGAATTTGAAATGTAGTGACTTCCATGCAGAATCCACTAAGCTAGTGTGGAATAATACTGAAACCATTATATTAAGTATATACTTGCAAATTCAGAGCATCTAAGGTCATCTACTAGAGAGAAAAGTTTGGAGTAAACAGAAGGTACTATTCTGATGACTAGGTGAGAGGAGTAAAGATAGATTTTCAGGTATACATTAGACCTGGTCATCCTAGAAACTTCATATTACCTGTCAGTAATGGGCTGTTGGTCACCACCTTATCTCCTTCTGCCTGAAGCAGTCCAAGAATCTCACTAGCCTATGCCCTTTGCTGAGGCCAGAAAGTTCCTAGTCCAAGTCCAACATGCCCTGCAGTCCAACAGTACCATGCATTAATCCTGCAATCATACTACTCCCATGTCACTGGAAATGACACAACGCTAACAATTAGGTTTGGCCTCATGACCTTTAAAGGATCTCTTGCAGCCCAGTGCCTCTGACTGTAAACAGAATTTAGAATTTTAGTGAGAATCCTCTTGCCACTCAGGAATGTGATTTGCCCAGACATGTCTTTTAGAATTAAATTAATGGAAAGGAACTCTTCCTTTGTTCTGCTAGGCCACAGTAATGGGGTTAGTATAGCCTGTTGTTTTAAGCGCTTAGTATTCAAAACCAGACTGTGACCAAAATGTGTGTGTGTATATGTGTGTGTGAGATAGAAAGAGAGAATAAACCTGATATCATAGAAATACAATTGGACTCCAAAAGCAAACTTTCAAGAAAACCAAACTATGGGTGTGCTCATCCATGGCATTCTCAGCTGCCAGGAGAAGTGGGGCATAACATTGAGTTCATCTGTGAGCAGTAATGCAAGGAAGCAGACACACAAGTGCTTCATCAATCCAGCCAAACCTCATTCTCAGGAGACAAGTTCAGTCATGTGAAATGGCCAGCCGCTGTTTGCCAAGATTTGGGTGAAAATCGCCACTTTAAATTTTTTAAGGAGAAAAGCACAGCATTCTAGAGCAGAACCTAGTATGTTCTCCAAAAGATCTACACCCCACTGGGAGGTGGCCCTGCACATTCTATTAAAGGCTCAGAACAAGTGCATACACATGTATCAAAAACTGCAAAAGTCTGAGTATTCGCATTAACATATTACATGAAGAATGACAATTACACCAGCACCAGTTCCCATTTTTTCATAATTGCAGTAATTTCTGGTCCAGACCTCTCACATGGTCAATGTCACATATACCAGAAAGTACACCCAAAGATATTTAATTAAATTGCTTTTAATATGTTATGTTGTACCACATATTATTTGCATACTTAGTGCTAAGATTATACAGGCAACAAACAGATGATATAATAATGGAAACTACTAAGGAGTATTGTTTTTGTTTATGTTTCTATAAAACAGAGGCACCCTCTTTTATTTTGGAGAAGATAACACCTGCTTCTTAAAAATCACTAGACTAGAATGCAAAAAAAAATCCTTTAAATTTTACTAGAATAATTCTTTTGTATTACAAGCCTTGTGAAACATACACAAAAGGAAGCATTCCATATGAGTTAAACTTATCTACAGGAAATGAGGGAGACAGTGATTCAAACATTTTTCTGTCTTTTGTAGTTGCTGAGACACTTTGACTTCTGTATTCTCAAAGGCTTTCACGGCTGCGATCTAATGGTTGTTGTAGGTTTTTCGGGCTGTTTGGCCACGTTCTGGAGGTTTTTCTTCCTAACATTTCACCAGTCTCTGCGGCTGGCATCTTCAGACGACAGGAGTTAGAACTCTGTCTGTGTTCTGGTGTAGTGTGTGGAATAGTAGAGTATTTGTAGCTGTGGGATCAACTTTTTGTCCTTTTCAAGAGATTGGGTGATCATGATCAGGGTGTTTTGTTTGTTTGTTATGGATGTATTGTTGTGATGGGGGGGTGTCTAAAACTCAAAAAAGCCTGGCTCCCAGCACTGAAAAATACAGCCTGCAAAAAGGTCAACAAACTCTACCCAGCCACAAGGACCTG